AATTTTGGTTGTTGGGTGTTCAGAAACCCTTATTCATATTTTTAACAATTCCCACATTTAGTTACTCAACCTGCAGATTAAGGAGCTTTGCTAAAGGGCAGCTGGGATTTGGAATTGACTTGATGGTAGTAGGTTTGGTTTTGCTTTATTACTGTTGAAGGTTTTTGAGTGGTTTCTAGCTTTAGATTAGCATTAGTATGGGTGTTTCTCCTCAGTCTTGTGGGCTTCTCCAGGTGAGCGTTTCTTGGGAGTAGTTGGGTGTATATTCAACTTGTGTATATTATATCAAATTGTTTTTAAAAGAAATTCTACCAATTTATATTCCCAACATAGCAAGTTGAGGTTTACAGCAGATTATCATGCCCTTAGGGCATTTATTGACAGCCCTGAAAGAGCTTTGCAACATTCCCTGAGCAGGGCAGAGGCCAGGCCATGAGGCTTAAGGCCAGAAAAGACCTCTGGGCATGGCAGAGAAGAAACTGTCCTGAATAATCAACTGTATCCTCTGCGTTTCTCATTTAAATTGAGCTTTAACAAATTGCATTATATATTTATTCACTAGCCTCATAATCATATGAATGGTGTGGCCACTGTGGTGAATTATAAATCCTAGTTGGAAAAGTAGAGTGTTGTGGGCGGGATAGAGCAAGAGCCAAATTAACAAATCTACCATGGCATCAGTCTGGACAGCACAGGGGATAGCAGGACCCTGTCTTAAGTACTTTGGGCATGTTATCAGGAGACCAGTCCCTTGAGAAGGACATCATGTACACAAAAGTAGTAGTTCTGTGAAAAAGGAAGAGCCCCAATAAAATGGACTAATACAATGGCTGCTACAGTTATTGATTATAGAACCAGGTGGTGCTTCCTTTTGCTATACAGAGTTGCTATAACTTGTAACTTACTTCAAGGCATGTAACACATTTGTAATTTTCATACCAGTTTAAACAAAGTGCTACCAGACCACAGAGAAAGGGGCACTACTGTCTGATGAGTAACACAGATCAATACTTTCACAAAAGTCGTTAAGATTTAATAGATAAATGTCTTACAAGAGGGGATTCCATGAACTGTTTCAGAGGACCAAACAAAAAAAACCCCTCCAAACCCACTGCCACGAAGTTGAGGATGACTCATATTTACCCTATGGGCCAGGGCAGAACTACCCCTGTATGCTCCTGGGACTCTAATTGTTTACAGGAGTAGAGTGCCCCATCTTTCTTCAGCAGAACGGCGGGTGGTTTTGCGCTGCTGACCTTATGTTAGCAGCCCAACTTGGAACCACTACATCACCAGAGATCCCAAATCTCAAATACAATGTAAGGGGAACATTCATTAAGTCTCAAACAGGACACAGGCACATCAACTGGATGAGGTCATAATGGCATCCAAGGGTTTGCAGAGATTCAAAACCTAAAATGATACTTAAGGAGCAGTAAAGGAATCTGTCACAAAGGCATGATAGGCAACAGATCAATATATCACAATTGGAGGTAGAACGACTGATGTGAGAATGGGACTATGATTAGGACTTGTACATTATGTTAGAAGAGCTCACAAGATTGGCCAGGAAATCAGGGCAAGACTCATGACTATGTGATCTCAATGGGCAGTCTCCATCAAAGGCACACCCAAGAAAGACCATCCCTCCCTGGGATGGTCAGGTGGGAGGTAATCCACTTTCTAATGCTTTTGCCTCAGAACAATACTGTTCACATTCCTGTTTAGTGGTCAGTTAAAATTAAAAACATAAACAAAACCCCAAACTCACTGCCCTTGAGTAGATGCTAACTCATAGTGACCCTATAGGATAGGGAATAGAACTGCTCTTGAGTTTTCTGGGTTGTAATTGTTCCTGGGAGTAGAAAGTGCTATCTTTCTCCTATGGAGCAGCTGGTGGTTTTGAACTGCTAACCTTGCAGAACACAGCCCAACCCTTAGCCACTATGCCACCAAGGTTCCAGATAGAATTCTGGAGAGGCTTAATCCATGTGGGGATTTTGCAAATAGATTTTGGGCTTTCTGCAAACTTAGTGCTCAGAATTTAAGCTCTAATGCAGGAAATTTGCAGTTATGCAGACAGAACAAGGGGATACTGCATGGTTTAAAATCAGAAAAGCTGTGCTTTAGCGCTGTATCTTCTCACCTTACTTAGTCAATCTGTAGGCTGAGCAATTCATCAGAGAAGCTGGCTTATTTCCACCCTAACAACCTTCGGTATACAGATGACACAAGCTTGCTTGCTGAAAATGAGGGCCACCTGAAGCCCTTGCTGATGATCAAAGATTGCAGCCTTCACTATGTATTACAACTCAATGTAAAGAAGACCAAAATCCTAACTGGCCCAATAGATAACATCATGATAAACGGTGAAAAGATTGAAATTGTCAGGGATTTTGCGCTATTTGGATCCACAATGTTCACAAAAGCACCAGTCAAGAGATCGAAAGCATATTGCATTAGGTAAATTTGATGCGCAAGACCTTTTTCAAATATGGAAGAGCAAGGATAGTTCTTTGAGAACTAAGCCTGATTTAAGCCATGGTATTACAATTGCCTCATATACATGTGAAAGTTAGACTTTATGTAAAGACCAAAGAATGGATGCACTTGAATTGTGGTGTGGGAGAATAATATTGAAAGTACCATAGATTGCTAAAAGGGCAAACCTATCTGTCTTGGAAGAAGTACTGCCAGATTGCTCCTCAGAGGCTAGGATGGCAAGGCTTCCTCTTACATACTTGGGACATGTTGTCAGGAGAGACCAGTCCCTGGAGGATATCATGCTTGGTAGAGTGGCAGCAAAAAGGAGCAGGGCCCTAAGATACGGACTGACACGGTGGCTGTAACAATGGGCTGAGGCATAGGAATAATTGTGATGGCGTAGGACCATACAGTGTTTCGATCTGTTGTGCATATGGTTGTTATAATTTGAATCGACCTGATGGTACCTAACAACTAAAGAGGAAATTTCCAGACACGAGAATATAAATGGAAAAATGTATTTGAAACCACCACCAAAGGACAAAATTATTGTTTGTGCAAGTACAAGTTAAATTACCCTTGCTTAGGCTGAAAAACGAACTGTATGAACTTAATCGCTATATTTTGGCTTTCTCGTTTGTTACATGAAGAAATAGTACCGTCAGAAAGTGCACCGCACAAAATAAAAATCCTTAACCAATACTTTAGCAAATTGTAAGCGTTCAATAATAAATGCTAGACAGTGTTATCAATAAGGTTTATTGGATGCCAAGGGGGGGGGGGTTAAGCAACATTCAGTAATTACCGGTAAAGTGAGTTACTGATGTAAACCAGTAGCCATCATTACTGTAAAGAATTTTCAAATACTCCTTTCTGATAGTTCCGGTAATATACAGTGGCACAAAATTGGGATGGGGGGTGACGGGAAGTTGAAAGAAGTAGTGAACTGAGATGCTCTGAATCTACTCTGTGTGGATGAGTGAGAGAAAGGCGAAGAAAGTTATGCTCTTCCAACGAAGTGAGCAAACGGTCCCAGGGTACCCACGGCGCGCAGGAATTCCGCCTCGGAAGAGGCCGACGACTCGAGAAGCGCTATCCTGGGAAAACCGAGAGGTCCGGAAGTTCCCGGGGTGCAGATGCGCCCGGGCCCTGCTACGCCAGGCTCAGGGTTCAGAATATGGAGCTATAACGCGCCAACAACTTAACCTCCACGATCACTAGGCGAGAGCCGGCGGTCCACGCCTCCGGAAACCCTCCGCCCAGGCGGCTCCTTCTCTTCCCGGCTTACCCCGCGGCGCCTCTGTGACGTCATTTCCCGTCGCCGCCAAGCACGTGGGAGGAAGTGCCGGTTCCCGAGGCCGTCGCCTGTCTCTCTGGTTACGTTCTCCCGCCCGAGTTTGGCCGCTTACAATTGTGCTGCTGTTATGGGAGTCCCGGCTTTTTTCCGCTGGCTCAGCCGCAAGTACCCGTCCATCGTTGTCAACTGCGTGGAGGAGAAGGTGAGTTTTGTGCAGCTTGCCGCCGAGCTACGTCAGGGCCCGGATGCGTCTAGGTGGCAGCCCTCAGCGTCCGAGGCCCGTGCCTTCCAGCCACCCCTGTGGGCAGCCACAGCCCGACGCGCGATTGGGCGCTGTAACTACCATTCGGGGCCCGGAAGAGGGGATTGGGCGGGTGAAGGACCGAGTGGAATCCGAACTGCGGGGAAGTTCGCTCCTCCTCCTCTTCCACTCCCCTGGTTTTCTCAACCCGGAAGGCCCCGCCCACGGCTTTGTTTCCTTTAGGACCACACTGCGGGAGTCTCTGATTAGAGGCCCTTAGGTTATTGACACCCAGGCCGGGCCCATCCAGTAAAGTGATTAGAGGAGTGGATCGTAGCCTTTAATCAAAATCAACTTGCAAAATCATCTCTGGTGGCGAGCCCCTTGTTGTTTACCCTTTCTAAAGGTTTTCATGTGCTATTTCTTGCTGTTCGAGTTTAAATCAGGACCTTAGAAATAGCCAGATACATCACTAAAAACCAAAAACTCTAATACTCTGCTGGTGGGCCGGAAGTGCCTCCTTTGCTAGGTGCCCCTACTGTGATTTTTGTTTTGATTTGGATACATTTGAACAGTTTAATTTTGTTAGTAGCTCATCTGTAGACTGTTAGCTATTCTTGCGTTTTTAAATGTTTCTGTATTTCTGTTTGAGTTTCCTATTGTATCTTTAATTGGAATTGCTGAATTGGGAAGGCCCTGGTGCAGATCATGTTCCACATCCCCTCGTTTTGAAGGAATTTCCAGTTTGCCCGTTTGAACTTTAAAAAATTACATTGGTAGGATCTTGATTTTTTTTTTTTTAACTTTCTGAGCTGCTGTCCAAAGAGGAACAGAAAGCTTTGTTTTGGTGACATTCTTTTCTTTATTTTTCTACAAGAGAAACCGCTGAACTAAATGCTAGTTTAATTCCTTTTTAATAACTAATTTAGTAATTAGTAAGTTTTATTGAACATGATGTAAAGAAAAATAAAAAGCTAACCTTTGGCTTACCATTTCTCACCCTCATTTCAGAATCTCAAACTACTACTTTTAACTCTCTTGATTTTATCTTCCCATGCTTATATTTGCTTTATTGGTTTTAGATCCAGTTATTAACTTTTAGCTATGGTACAGGACATTTTCAGACTGTTCTTCCTTTTCTCCTTATATAGTAAGCCATTATCTTTATTATTAACATATACAATTCACTAGTTTAATTGTATTAAAGCATTCATCACCACAATCAACTTTGGAACATTTTCTTTTTGCACCCATTGCTGTTGACTACCCATACCCCCCTACACCCACCCACCCACCCCTCCTTCCTTGACTCTAGGTTAATTAATGCTGTGATGATTTACCTATACAGAAAACATACAAAGCAAAGCCAAAAAGAAACAAAAAATGCCCCAGCATCAATGACCTAAAACGATAGCTTGAAATGATAAGCTTTTTGTTGTTTATTCCATCACATGTAATCAAGATGTGCTGGTTATTAGAATATAAAGGGAAACAAAGAGTGATCAGTAGTTGGAAAATATGGTCTTATTGATAGATATGATGTTAGAGATTACATGATGGGCTTTTGTTTTTTTTTTTAATTTCCTGTGCTTTTTGTGCTCTGCCTCCTCCACCTGCCCATACTATATATGCGGCGACTCCAAAATGTTCATGGAATGAAATGGTTATGAAATTGTTCCACGGACTTTTTGGAGCTCTCTTGTGCCCTAGCAAGGAGTCACTTCTATATAACATTAATGGTTTATGGATTACTGGAGTGACTTTTGAATTACCATGTGTGGTCATACACTATTCTATATGAAATTGGTGCATCCTCAGCATTGCACTATATTCCTTAATCATATTATGTTTGGTGTCAAAATGGAGATAATGCCATTCTCCCTTGTAAATATTAGGCTTTTTCCCCCTGCATATAAATGCTCCCAAATATTTCAAAGATGGTAGAGTTTTGCAAGACCCAACAACATATTCATTGCAAATACTTTTAAGCAATATAAATGGTGATAGGTACCTCACAGGATAAAATAAACAGGAGTCAATAGACCACATCTGTGCAAAGAGATGATGTAGAAGTTCATCATCCGTCAGAACAAGGCCAGGGGCTGCCTGTGAACACAATGCAAATTAAAATTGAAGGTGAGGAAATTTAAACAAGCCCACTCGAGCCAAGATGCAACCTTGAGTATTGTGGTAGACTGAGTTTTCTAGGGAAGCAAAATCTGGAAACTTAACATATATCAGGAACTTTATATATAAAAAATAGATCAAGAAAGTGCCACAACCCAGTCTGACTTAAGTTCAAGTCCATGGGTTACATGACAGCTGGAGCCCCCTCTAGAGTCATGCAGCCACTTAATGAAGCAGGAGGTCAAAGTAGGAAGTGGGAAGATCTCAGTGCAGAGTTGTACCAACCAAAGTTGGTAAAAACATGGCGGAATGAGTGGGCTACCTCTCTGGAGACCCGCACAGAACCCAGGCAAGCATGAACATGAAGAGGGGAGAGAGAAAGAGAAGTTCTCTGCACAACTTTTTATAATAAAGGTTACCACCCCCTCCAAGAAAAAAAAAAAGTGAAACCATTAGGTTGTGTCTTGATTGGGAAGTTGTACTCCACCCATATCTTCACATAAGTACATCAAATTGACATACAACCGTCAAGATTATAAGCCACCTGAAATTACAGGCCATCCCAAGAATAGATTTGACACATTTGAACACTAATGACCAAATAGCAGATGAATAGTGGAATGCCATCCAGGATATCATATATGAAGAAAGCAAAAAGACAGCAAAAAAATAAAAGACCAAAATGATTATCAGAAAGAGACTAGAAAAGTTGCCCTTGAATGTAGAATAGCTAAAGGGAATGGAAGAGATGATGAAGAAAGATGGAAAATACAGACTCACTGTACCCAAAATAACTGGTCAACATTCAACCATGTAATCAAGAAAGTTTGGTATTGAAGGAAGAAGTCCAGACTGAAGGCACCAGGAATTTATAGAATTCCAATTTAGATATGAGGGGGTACCCCCAAAAATAGTGGGAAAAAGCTCCACAGGGAGGAACTTTCGTGGTATGCATGTTTCCTGCTAGGCAAGATTCAAGCAACTCGCTCTGAGTTAGTGCACCCTGTGACATAGCCTGGGAAGGTTCTCTCTGGTCACAGTGAATTTTTTCATAAAAGCAGTTTTGTTTAAACCTTGTTTTTTTTTTGTCATGGCTAACATAAGAGAACAGCATGTGACTGAAATTTTGTTTCCTACATGGGGAAAAATGCCGCAGAAACTGTTGTGATGTTGAATCTAGCTTGAAAGGGCAGGGCTATGAAGAAAACTCAAGTATCCAGTATCCGAGTGGTTTTCTTGTTTCCAAAGAGGTGAAATGTCGATTAATGACAAACTTTATTCTGAATGTCCCAGAGGAGTTCGTACTACTAGGTCATACTGCTAATCAAACTTTCTATTTAAAGGTTCTGAAAAGATTGCATAAGAGTGTGCAACAAAAAGGCCTGATTTGTGGCAGGTAGGAGAGTGGTTTTGCCACCAAAACAGTGCACCTGCTCATGCAGCCATCTCAGTGTGCCAGATTTTTGACAAAAACCAGCAGGCAAGTGAAGAGGGGCATGAAAAGGACAGTGATTTGACAACATTGAGAAAAACGAGGGAAGTGCTGTCAGCCATCCAAACCGATGAGTTTGAAAATGTTTCCAAGAATAGAATCTCAGATCTGACATGTATTAAGTGTAGTGGAGTGTACTTTGAAAGTGATAAGGTTGTTTTGTAAAAATTTTAAATACATTGGGGGGAAAAATCATTTTTTGGAGGATACTCCCTAAAAAGAAGGTAACCCAGGAAGTGCCTACCTATCTTTGTCAAAATTTGAAACAGATACGTATTCATGCCCATTACAAAGAAAAGTTATCAACAATATAGAAGTTGCTGAATAATATTAATATCAAACACAAGTTAAATTTTGCTGAAGATAATCTAGAAACAATTGCAGCAGATAGTACATAGATGGGAAGTGGCCAGAGGTTCTAGCTGGATTCAGAAGAGGATATGAAATGAGAACTATCATTCTTGCTATCAGATAGTTCTTGGCTAAAAACAGAATACCAGAAAGATAATTACCCCTGTTTTATTGACTGCAAAAGCAGTTGACTGTGTGGATCATAACAAATTAATGGATATCCTTAAGGAGAATGGGAAATCCAGAGCTCCTGGGGAACTTGTACCTCCCAAGAGGCAATTGTTAAAATGATAAGGGGATACTGCATAGTTTTAAATCAGGAAAGATGTATGTCACTGCCCATACTCCCTCTGTGTGCTGAGCAAATGGTCCAAGACGCTGGACCATGTAAGGAAGAATGTGGCATCAAGAGTGGAGGAAGATTCATTAATAACCTGCAGTATATAAGATGTTACAGCATTGCATGCTGAAAGAGAAGATAAAAAGTACTTACAGATGAAGATCAAAGATTATACACTTCATTATAGATTACATTGCAAACTAATAATACAGAAAGCGTAACAGGATCAATAAGCAATATCATAAATGGAGCAAAGATTGAAGTTGTCAAGGATTCTGTTTTACTTAGATCTACAATCAACTTTGATGGAAGCAGCACTCAAGG